TGATATATCACATCTTAGACATATGACTAAAAGATTCGCGGCAGTAATTATACACATTTCTGAGCAACAAAAATGTCACATGTAGGCGTGCATAAAAGTGCGCCAGGAATGAAAAACTCAATAAAAAACAATATACAGCGAAATTAAATTTTCATATTGCTGCAAGAAATGAGAAAAATTAGAAAGCTCTTATCGAAAAGGACACAACTCAGCAAATGCTACCGGATAATAATCAGTCCAGCGCCACTCTACACACTTACCCAGTTGAGCATATCATTCAATTAATTCTCAACTTGTCTGGCTTTTGTCCATGTGCCGAATCAACCTCAGCATTGAGATTTTTAAACAACGGGGTCACAGCTAGTCTCAGGTGTCAGCACTCAAACTCAGTTCATTGAAACTGGCCAGCCAAGGTAATGACCAGCAAGCATTGCTTTTTTAGTTGCCTGAAATGCATTTGAAAGCAGATCCGCTCCGCCTTTCACGCGACAGATTGTTGTGGACGCATATGGATCGAATATTGACACATACTGCTGATCGTGGTTGTTACTGAAAACAAAAAAACTGAATGAGTAAACTGCCTCTGTAACAACAGTTTCAATCTCTGAAGCACAACTAGCGTTCGTATCGCTGAAAAGAGCGAATATCCAAGCTTCAGAGAAGTTAAAAAAAATTGCACAGTGTCAATCAGAGCATCTATGCGCCCCTAGGAACTCTTATACAGCTGGTCCTTTCCCAAAACACTTTCTACGGATGACGGTTGTGCAATTACAGAGAATCGCTAATATAAGAATCGGAGGAATGCGGAATACGCGGAGAAGGGCATGGCACAAAAAGCATTTTTATTGCATGAGCAAAGTTTGCTTACCTGAACTGATTTCTTTGAATTACAGAGGCATTGTGTAAGTGCAAGCTGATATGGTTGAAATCATATTTTGCGTAATGGCTGATAAATAACAATACCAACTCAGCAACATCGGGTGTTTGTTTTCCATGAAAATTCATACTTTTCTAAAACACAGTTCTCCCAGAAGTAAACGTGAATGCAAAAGTACCATATTTTAAAA